CAAATGTTGGCTTAATCTGCCAAGGGTGGAGAGGAGGGAAGTGGATCGTAACCCTTGGCTAGTGAAGATGCATATATATGTATAATAATGTATTTACTGTATATGTAACTGATAAAATCAAGTTCACTGATCACACATCAACATAACTTTCAGGACCTAAAAGCTTAAAAGACCTGACTTGACATATAAATATTACCAGGTGGTAAGCAATAAAACCTATATGGGGATGGGAGGAGCTTGTTGTTATCAACATCATATTTATAAATATACACATCATCTGTTTACAATAATAACACATGGTTGTATCTGAATGATAATTTTTATGTATCTTTGTAACAGAGGTGTACATTTGTAAGTATAGTTAAAATTCCACTGAATGATGAAAATTAAAATGTATGAAAAAATTTACAGTAAATACCTAAATCATAATTTAAAAAAATAGAAATGCAAAAAAATTACAGAAACTTTTATACACAGTATTAAATTTCTTGTGCTGTGATTATTAAATTACAAAAACAAATGTCTTGAAAACTGCAGAAAAATGAATTTTATTTGAAATATCACATTTAAAACACTTTTTTTGTTCTACTGTCTACGATTTCTTTTTGAGTAAATACTTTTCATAAATCTTGACCAAATATGTAGCTCTTTTGTAGTTCTTCTTCCCTTTTTTACTCCTTGGCATCCTGTGATTTTGTTTAATTGACACTGAAGTAAAGTCTCTATCAACATTTTCATTCCAGTGAAGTACACTAAGGTTGGCTCGGGCATTGTATTGGTTATCACCGAACGCAATTCTTTTGTTTTGATAAATATTTGTTACATTGTTAAAACTTTCAACATAAAATGTATCCCTTCCAAGAACATAATCCTTTGCATATTTGTATACAGTTGCATTAAGTATAACACTTAAAAGAAGTTTTTCAGCAACTGGAGAGGTTATAACAATTCGTGACGGTTCATATTTGGCATCAACCTTACACCGGGCACTCTCATGGCAGTCAGTGTGAATATTCTTATAGTGATCAAGGATATTTGATAAACTCTTCTGCAGTTTCTTTTCATCTTGGTTGCAGTTCTGGATAGCCCAATGCATGTGGGTAGCCACAGGTTCAACCTTGTCCGATAACTGGATTGACCATGTTTTTCCCTCAGAAGATTTAGATCCAGTTGACACCTTCTTTAATGCTGATTTTACAGACTTAACACAATGCCAAACATCGTTCTGATTGATTGCTTCTGTATTTTCCCTTACATATTTGTTTATTGACAAATTCCTGTCATGGCAATGAACATTCACTGTTACATCGTTTTCATGTAAATAGTTTAAGATCTTCTCTGTCCCAAGTCTTTCATGTCTTTGAGATACAGGGTCCATTGTTTTCGTAACATGTTCACAACTAATAACTTTATGAGTTTTTATTCCAATGCAAACAACGCTTGTATTTTTTGCATTCTTACGCCAGCCGTGTCTTGCATCTGACATAATGTCTATCTTGCTATCAAGTTCTCCATAAGATGCTATCTTTTGTAAAAGTGCTATGTCAGTTGAATATTTATACTCCTCTTGTATGTATTGACTGTGAACGTTGAAAAATGATGTACGATTTTCATCACTTATAACCCTTATTCCTGATCCTTGTGCAAATCTCTTGTAGACTGCAGGCAATATTCCACTACATGTAATCCCATGATTCACTCTACTGTTCACTAAGTAATCCTTTGTTGGCAAATAAGGAGAGGAGGACCAAGAAAATACATGAGGTGTCTCTTTATCGTTACATTTTAGGCTTGTTTTGCAAACATGTCCTTTTTTCAACATTTTTTGTAGGTTTAAGTTTTTCTTTACAACATCTTGCATGCCAATCAACAACCGATATAAGCCTCTTAACTGAATCTTCTGCAGTCAGAAAAATATGTTGGTTTGTGTCTACTTTCTTTGATCTGATATATGTGGATGGACAGGGTTCCTCTTGAAACTCTTTTGACGGGGTGTTATTGGTATCATTCTCTTCATTCCATTTTTGCAGTAAAGCTTCAATAACCTGCAGGTTTCCCATAGGTTTGTTGTTTTTTTTTTTGTCAATTCTTGTCTAATTGAAGCAAATTTTCCAAAAATTTCATCCTTCTTTTCTTCAGTACCTGACACTTCAATCCGAAAACACGGAGTTCTTTTTCTATTATTTTTTTCTCACCTTCTGACATTTTCAACAAAGATCATTTACAACAATTACTATACGAAATACTATTAGAAAGACTGATGGTTATTTTATCTGAAATATGGATCAATCTATTTAATTTAAGAAAGGTATATAAGTACTCAAGTCAAATATATATGTAATATATTTTGTTAATTATTTTTGAAAAATTTAGGAGGTAAACCTTTATGAGCTTTGAAAAAAATAGAATTTTGCTGTTTTGTTTTTAACATTAATCTTTATCATTCTTAAAAAATTTCTCACACCCCTATACTAGTGTGTCAGTTACATTTCTAGTACTTGCAGATATGTCCATTCCCGCCAAATATTAATGATATGCAAACAACATGTGTAAAATATCACTGTCATAGGACATTTTTGAGGTCTTACTTGGGATAAAGAAAATTAAAATTTAAAGATTTGTTTGCCACAAATATATCTGATATATTTTTTTTATTGTTGATTATTATAATATTAAAAAGAATGTATATCAACATTTCCAAGTACTTTTATTAAATCTCTTCAAACCGAAATCCTCATTGTGCCTTGGGTTGCAGATATTCTAGATTTTGGAAGTTCATTTTCATCTTATAAAACATGGAGGGAAACAATGAATGTAGTAATGTCACTTCTGTGTTGTCACTTGAAGTTACACAAGAGCAGAAAGATGCAATATATCACTTTTTTGCTCATAATGATTGGGATTTTAAAGAGGCTAATTCTGACAAGAATAAGGTGAACAATTCTGAAAGTAATGAACATTCAGAAAATTATAACCCCTATTCCTGATCCTTGTGCAAATCTCTTGTAGACTGCAGGCAATATTCCACTACATGTAATCCCATGATTCACTCAACTGTTCACTAAGTAATCCTTTGTTGGCAAATAAGGAGAGGAGGACCAAGAAAATACATGAGGTGTCTCTTTATCGTTACATTTTAGGCTTGTTTTGCAAACATGTCCTTTTTTCAACATTTTTGTAGGTTTAAGTTTTTCTTTACAACATCTTGCATGCCAATCAACAACCGATATAAGCCTCTTAAATGAATCTTCTGCAGTCAGAAAAATATGTTGGTTTGTGTCTACTTTCTTTGATCTGATATATGTGGATGGACAGGGTTCCTCTTGAAACTCTTTTGACGGGGTGTTATTGGTATCATTCTCTTCTTTCCATTTTTGCAGTAAAGCTTCAATAACCTGCAGGTTTCCCATAGGTTTGTTGTTTTTTTTTAGTCAATTCTTGTCTAATTGAAGCAAATTTTCCAAAAATTTCATCCTTCTTTTCCTCAGTACCAGACACTTCAATCCGAAAACACGGAGTTCTTTTTCTATATTTTTTTCTCACTTTCTGACATTTTCAACAAAGATCATTTACAACAATAACTATACGAAATACTATAAGAAAGACTGATGGTTATTTTATCTGAAATATGGATCAATCTATTTAATTTAAGAAAGGTATATAAGTACTCAAGTCAAATATATATGTAATATATTTTGTTAATTATTTTTGATAAATTTAGGAGATAAACCTTTATGAGCTTTGGAAAAAAAAAGAATTTTGCTGTTTTTCATTTTAACATTAATCTTTATCATTCTTAAAAAATTTCTCACACCCCTATACTAATGTTTCAGTTACATTTCTAGTACTTGCAGATATGTCCATTTCCGCCAAATTTCAATGATATGCAAACAACATGTGTAAAATATCACTGTCATAGGACATTTTTGAGGTCTTACTTGGGATAAAGAAAATTAAAATTTAAAGATTTGTTTGCCACAAATATATCTGATATATTTTTTTTTATTGTTGATTATTAGTATACCAAAAAGAATGTATATCAACATTTCCAAGTACTTTTATTAAATCTCTTCAAACCGAAATCCTCATTGTGCCTTGGGTTGCAGATAACACATTCTAGATTTTGGAAGTTCATTTTCATCTTATAAAACATGGAGGGAAACAATGAATGTAGTAATGTCACTTCTGTGTTATCACTTGAAGTTACACAAGAGCAGAGAGATGCAATATATCATTTTTTTTGCTCATAATGATTGGGATTTTAAAGAGGCTAATTCTGACAAGAATAAGGTGAACAATTCTGAAAGTAATGAACATTCAGAAAATTATCACATTGAACATGACCAACCCAGCAAACACACAACATTTTAAAAACATTTTTTAAATGTCATATGGACGTCTCTCACAAAATATTTCAATAAGATATCATTTAAACATAAAAAAAAAATGTTTATTTTATTGTTTTTGAAATGTTTTATTTCTAACATATAAGTAAAATGTTTTTACAACATTAACAAAATATTATTTGCTAATATCTTTTATTCATGTTCTCAAACATTGTTCTAAAATATCCCGTAGATATTTTATAATATAAAAAAAATAATATTTTCTTCAATTGGTATTTTATATTTTAACAACATTTAGAGTAAATATTTTCCAAATATCCAAAAAAACATTCTGCAAAAAAATGTTTTACAGAAAATATAGTTTTGCTATTTGCATAAAATGTTTTACATAAAACATCTGAAAAATATCAGCTAAATGTTTTCTATAAAATATTCTGACATACACATTGCTTAATAGTCTTACTGATATTTTATTCAACATTTTACGGATATTAAAATAACATTTTATTTAAACTTTATTCAAAACCCTACAAACAACGTTTTGTGGAATTAGCTCGTTTTTTTTCAGGATAAGATATAGTACTACATTTCATCAATATCATGAGAAGCAAGATACTATGGTTGAAATCCTTAATTGATATCTTGAAGATCCTTGAAGTCAGATTTTATTCCTTCTTATATTAAAATTCAAAAGAGTCAACATGAAATTAAGCAATAATGTATTAATAAACAATCACCGTTCTTTAATGTTTATTCATTTCGTTCGTGTATATTTTAGAAATTAAGAAATGAAAACTGTAACTGTACTAAGTTCAATTTTCGTATCGTTTATATGCCTTACGGAAAACCGACCTTTTCAGGAATCGACTTTTGTTTTATCACCGGAAATGATTTTGAAATTTGAATTTCGAAACGAAGACAGGATATCAACAAAGAGAGCCAAGAAAATTGTTTGTTACGCGATATATACTCACTTGGTAAGAATGATTAATCTGTTAAGATGAAACTTGTGCATTCATTTTGTGTGTTCAATCATAATCGGAACCAAATTACATCTGTTTTTTGGAGGTGCGAATCAAGGTTTTGAAAAAAAGGGGCCCCTGGCCAAGGCAAGCAAACGTTTGGAGTGATACTTGTAAATAGTCTATACATTTATCTTATAAGTAGCTCCATAAGGGGGTCGGGGCCCCTAAATCCGCCACTGTTCAAGCATCTACGTACACCAATTATGAATTTGTTCATTGATATAATAAAATTACAAGGATATGTTGCTTGTGTGTTTGATTGCCAATACACCTTATCGCTATTTGTCGGCCATTACTGGCCATGGACATCACAAAAGTTCCCGTAAAATGTTGACGTCATATAAGAAAATATTTGACACCACAATTGAAAGTAATACACCTTAATGCTATTTGTCCGCCATTACTGGACATCACACAACTGTCACAAGTTCCCTAAAATTTTGACATCATCATAAAAAATATCTAATGCCACAATGGAAAAGTGATTGTTGTTTAACGTCAAAAGTTCAAGCAGGATAGATTCTCGGGTCAAGCGGGAATAGCGATAAGGTGTATTATTGTATGACGTATGCTGACGTAAAAAGTTCAAGTGGGACAGATTTCCAAATACTGAAATAGCGATAAGGTGTATGAGACAGCTATCCACCAGAATTTAAATGACTTGGATAAAAGAAATTATAGGTCACTGTACGGCTTTCAAAACTGAGAAAACCAATGCCATATAGTCCACTTTGAAGCCTTGACAAACAAATGTTAAATTTTTCTCAACACAATTGAAACAAAACAACTAACTGCCTACATTAAATACATACATGTATTATGAAAAAGAAATTTGACAGACTTAAACCAACAACAAATTTTGCAATAAGCATGACTCAATACCTTGTTTCCGAGGCACACAAACAAGTTACAATAACACTAATATAAGCACCATTTGAATATGGAGATTTTTTTTTCTAGTAAAATCAGTGTATGTATGTATTTGCAAATAGTAAATTAAATTTCCCTTAACAGCTTAATGAACATTACAAAGACTTTGTAAGACTTCAGCACAAGCAAGATAATATAAACTGTTGCTTAAAATTATATTTATTGCTTCATACACACAATGTACATACAATGTATCTTTTATTTTTTAACAGGAGCTAAAAGAAAAGCCACAAAGGACAAGTTCAATATGCAGGTTTACAATTTGGAAGTGGCGCAGGTTCTTTGAAATGTCTACAACCTTTCAGGAGAATTTTTTTTTGAAGTAAGATTTTCATACAGAATTACTGTTATTCCATATTTAATTCAAATATTTAGCATAAACAATGCATTATATTCAAGATTAAGGGCATATAATACAGAAAAGATATCTGGATATTTGAATAAATTATTTTTTTTGTGACAAAATAGAAACAAGTTGTTTATTTAAATCAATCTTTTAGTCCAACAGTGTGCTTTCATAAACATATTTGCTTTCCTTTGAAGTATTTCAAATACATATAAACAACTCATTTAATGACATCTGTGTGTTTCTCGGAAGTTAAGTTATATTATTATCATCATTGCATAAACAATGCGTAACACTTCGATAAGTTATTATGTGCCTATAGTATACTTCTAGGACTGTATCATATGCCCTTAGATACAAATGACAAGTTGTAAACTATGTCACTCTACAGAGTTTAACACTTAAAAAGGACAATAAGATGTTTAATGACATTATGTAGCAGGGCTTTTAAAGGCCCTTACATGATACAATGCATTTAATGAAAACTAAAAAAAAAAACAAGAAAAACAACAGCCTGATTTATACAAAACAATAAAAGAAAAAAAATATGATAGACAACAATCAACGAGTATACGAAATAAGACTCTGGACTGGACACATATCTAGTCTAAAGTTTTTTATGTGTTTTTTTTTAATAACTAAATGAAGTTCAGCGTGGCATATTGCTCTCTCTTAACACGGTCAGCCATTTATCGTCCCCTTCCGACAGACTATCATCGTTATTTGTTTCAAAACTTTAAAGGGGAGGGGATGTATATCCTTCAGGCAACATGAATCGTTCTATAATAAAGGAATGTGCAAGAAGTTCATATATGAATGTAAGATTAATTTTTTTTTCAGAAGCATGGCACAGCAAGAAAAAGATATAAGACACTACAAGACATTCCAAGTGATTTTGAATTAGACAATTGATTGACTTTTCAATGTATTCTTAAATAAATCAAATAGTTGATGTAAAATGGTGTTTTGTTCTCATCTGTTCAGCCAATTATCAATGATTATTGACTTAAGATGTAACCCTATTATATTGATTGATTGTTAGTTGCTTAACGTCCAGTGGCAAATATTTCATGCATATTCAGGACGAGAACAAATTAACAGTAAATACAATAGCCTAAGGTAGGTTCTGTAATGTAGGTCGTCCCGGAAGAAGGTCGGGGAAATTTAGACTGCCACTGGAAAATGAGGGTAAATTGGATAGGGACAGCAATTTTGCCTTGCAACAGGTCACCTACGGACCCCTCAAAGAGTTGTTGCAAGGGTTCTTAACGTGCAGAGAGCGTGGCACTCTCTCTACACGAGGCATCGGATTTAACGTCCCCATTCTGACCGGACGTGGCTGCGTACTTGTACATCCCGCACAGCCAAACGGACGCCCCACTTTGGCAAGGGTTCTACTGCCGGTCGGAAGAAGACCTGTAGTGACCATATTTCTATTCCCCAGTCACCCTTGGGGACAACCCTATTAGAAGTGTAGCGTTTTAGTTTAGAAAGAGAAGTTGTATTGAAAAATCTGAATTTGGGACACAAGTTTTAGTCAATGTAACTTGAACTTAAAAATGTGTATAATGTTTGCATAATGTCCAATGGCATATATGTCATGCATGTTCAGGTTGACATATGCATGATGTGTATAAGATAGGTAATATAAGTTAAGAGTGAAAAAAAAACATTATACCATTGTGGTTGGAATGTGGGCTTTCTTGCACTGTCTGTCGTCTGTCCACCTATATTTGTCGGATTTTGTCCAACAAATATTTTCATCAAGTGCTGTTTTTCCCAAAACTGCTGATAAAGATGAGTTCATATTTAATGAGCTGCTTGATAGTGATGAACTGTGATGTGTGAACATTTTTGTATCTGGCACCTGTTTCCTTTTTGCTTATACTTTGTATTTCAAAATGTTGAATGTTCTCAAATTTTTCATTACTTTAATTAGTTATGCTGATGAACAGAATGACTTCATATTTGGTAAGTGGCTTGACCATGATGAGTTGTGTCTGCCATTTTGGATGTGTCAAAATTTGTAGATACTTCTTGTTTTTAGAGACTTTGAATTGTGAATTTCATATGCTTAGCAAATCAACTGATTTATTCTTGTTTGTATATAGAATTAATCACTGTGTATAAATTAATTTAACTAATGATTTGTTTTTTAAAAAAGCAGGAAACTCAATCAAAAGTACAGACATTTTTTTATTGATATGATCTAGATATCAACCAAAAAACATCTTCTTAAAACATTTTGAAAATATTTTTTAGGCACAGTCTCACTTGCAAGAAAACATCCAAAAAACATTTTTATAACATTATTTGATGTTCATGATATTTTTCAAACGTTCAGAAAATATTTCTAGAAAATATTTTTTAAAAGATTATCAAAATGTTTTATACGTCATTGTTTTTCACATTATCATGATATTTCTTTACAACATTTTAATTATATTATGCAAATATTTTAGAAAATAATTAGAAAACGATTTAGCGATATATATTCTACCATACATTTAATGTTTTTCTCACGTTTTTTTGTGATATTTTCATGACATTAGACACAACATTTTAAAAACATTTTAAAGATGTTTTTGTGTTTGCTGGGAAGAGTCACCTGAGTGTCCATATTGTTTATGTCGCCCATGTATAACAGATGAACAAAATAGACAATTGTGGTGGGAAAATGAAAATTGTGCACCTCATGAAAGAAATTCTTTCTTAGGAAAAGATAAATTCAAACGTTTTTGGACAAACCTTTTTGATAGAGGGGTTTGGAATGACCCAAGATATTTAAGGAGAAAGAGAGACGCACTTAAAAGGGACAGATCACGGAGAAAATTTACGTATCACAGGAGAGATTTAAAACCAAAATGTGTCCTGGAATTGGTTAGGAAATGGTTCCCAAATCCATCATGTCAAGAATATATGGGTCACAAATGGGATTAGTGTTGTTATTATTACATACCTTCCCTATTCTGGTATACAATGGACGTTTCTACCAAATCTAAATGATTTTCGCTAAAAGTAAATTACCCAATTTCATATTAATAATATTAACCTGGACAAGTTATTATGAACCAATCATGTCAATGGAATTTTTAAAAGTCATTACTGTGAAATGGAATAAAGATTAGATTAAAGCTGTACACATGCAAGTTAAGAATTTTTCACTTATCAGCACGTCCATGTGGTATTTATGTAAACAAAAACAGAAAACAGCTGATGCAAGCTCCGCCTTATCTGTCAGTCTGGGAAATTCAAATTTTGAAAATCTGACCACTTGAGTTTTTAAACAGTCAATGTTTCTTATATTTATGGATTTTTTTCAACATAAGTTTGTCAAAATGCAGATAATTTATGTTCCTACTTGATTGACCGTTTGTTACATTCATCTTGTTAATACTGGTTAATGAAATCATAACAGTGTGTACTGGCTGGTCATTATCGCGTATGATACGATTTTGACACGCCTACATACCTGTTGAATATGCATGACTATAGATAAGAACAGCACGTGTAGCCTAAAACTGGGAGTTGAGTTGTAGATTTGTAGCATAACTGTACATATGTAGTTTATAGAATAGAAAATTAGATAGAAATATAGTGTTTAATTATTTAATAATCCGAGCGAGTAAAACACGGATCTATCACATTCCTAAAGGAAACAAAAAAATATTAGTTGAGATATCTGAAAAAATGTTCCTCCCTTACAGAACTAAAATGTTTGCAGCAAATCTGCTGCAAACTTGCTGCAGGTCTGCTGCAAACAAAAAGTTTGCAGGAACCCTTTGAATAATGTTTGCAGATGTTTGCAGCTAGCTGCAAAACTTCCTGCAAACATTGCAGCTTTTTGCTGCAAGCTTGCGGCAAGTTTGCAGAAACAAATATGTTTGCAGTAAGATTGCAGGAAAAACTAGAATATAAGGGATGTTCGCAGCTAGATTGCAGAAATATTTGACAATTCAAAATGTTTGCATGAGCATTGCAAGAACTACATAAAATGACTGAGCATGCCTATTGGTAACCTCCTGGAGGATAAAGATTTGAAATTTGAAAATGTTGATGGTGTTTGGGTCCTGTTATATATTAGTGTTCAGGGCGGCATTTTAGTTTGGAAATTAAAAGTTTAGTTTTCAAGGACATTATTTGTAAGTACAAATTATTCATAGAAGTGTAAACTTATGAAATTCGTCCCCTTCACAAATATCTGCATGCATGAAGGTTTGAAAAACATTTTCAAATATGTAATCATGCAATATACAGTACTCTCTAATATATTTGGAGATCGTAACTTATTAAATATTTACTTGTTATAAGTCAAGTTGAATTTTGTGACTATTTTAAATTAAAAAGCTGTATACATGCACAAACTTAATTTCAAATAAACCCTTTTTTGAATTTTAGATATTCATGCATGCAATTCATTTGAGCACGTACTTGAACGACAAAAAACCCACTTAAAATTAATTTTTGAAAGGTATTAACTTATGCTATGATAATTTTTCAAATGATAAAGTATTTGAATTATTGTATGTATGTATGTATGTATGTATGTAACATAACTTTTTCAGAATTGCTGTGTAATATAGATAATGTGATGTGTACACAACATGACATTGGTTGATTGTATAACATATGTATAGTTCCTGCAAGTTTGCAGCAAACACACAGGAGAAAGATTAATTTGAATATAAATGTTTGCCGCAGGTCTGCAGCAAACACGCAGGAGAAAGAATAATTTGCATAAAAATGTTTGCAGCAGGTCTGCAGCAGACACTCATTTGCATATAAATGTTTGAAGCAGGTCTGCAGCAAACACTTATTTACATGGTAAATTGCTTGCGGCAGACCTGCAGCGTTTTTGCAGCAAACATGCAGCAAATACAGACTCTGTGTTCGCTGCATGTCTGCAGCAAGTTCGCTGCAGACTTGCAACAAATGTTTGCAGGAGGCTGATTTTTTCAGTAAGGAAGCTTACACTTCAAAGCTGCAAAGAAAACATAAGAAGCCATAATATTTCTCATTGGATTCTTTTTATACCCCCAGTCCGGTCTTTAACAGTTATTAAGTCAAACGGGTCCGACTTATCTCCTGAAGAATCATTTCTTCATCTCCTATACCTTGCGTTTCAAGAGCTTCATAAGTGTCTGATTCTGCTTGATTTTGATTTTGATTTGACTTTTCAAGCGCATTAGATTTTGGCATGGAAGACTTGAATTTTTTATTGTAAACATTCTTCACCATCTCAACTGCTTCCGTTTCGAAAAAATCTGAAGCATATTTGTTTTTTTAATAGCTGCCAATTTCTGTCTTGTCGAATTGATTCAAGCCCATTTGATAACAATTCTTCCACCTTGACTCTATATTTGACTGGTTATTTCAAGCATTACTGTCAAGTTTTGTTATAATCAACTTAGTAGTTTGAGAGAAATTTAGTATAAATTAAAACGAAATCTACAGCGATTTGTGCAAAATTTCATCAAAAAATCCAAATCACGCCGCATCATGAAAGAATGTAGTGTTGACCAATAAATTCACCAATAAATGATCAAATATTCCTCTAATCTACATTCAAACAGTTGGATATGATACAAAAGGTGATTCTAAGATGATAAACACCACTAATGTACGTCTTTGTTTTCATTATCAGATCACTTTTGGTCCATTTTTACCTCTCATTCCCTCAAAATTTTTACTTTTTAGGCTAATAAATAAACAAATTTGGGGTTACTATCACACATTTATATAAAATGAGTAATTGACAACCATGCAACAACGTCAATAATCAGTGAATGTCACGGTCAGTTCGAAATTCTGAAACGTAGGACAAATTATACATTTCTGTCTCAAATCGGACAACGTTTTGTTATTTCTTTTTACTGTTGAAATTAGTTGTTATGTTATAATAAATAATTATTAACTTTGAGCGATGTGTTATTGTTAACCATGCAAGATTCTTTTTCTT